CGGGCTCCCTGCTCGGCAGGGAGTCTGCTTCTCCCTCTGACCCTATCCCCTCTCATGTGTTCTCTCTCATTCTCTCTCTCTCAAATAAATAAATAAAATTAAAAAAAAAAAAAAAAGATTTTGAGAAAGAGAGTGAGCACGAGTGTGGGGGGAGGGGCAGAGCGAGAAGCAGGCTCCTGGGAGCCCTATGCGGGGCTCCCTCTCCAGACTCCGGGGTCATGACCTGAGCTGAAGGCAGACACTTAACCGACTGAGCCATCCAGGCACCCCTATTTTTAAATTTTTAAAAAATTTTTATTTTTTAATATTAATTTAATTTTATTTTTTAAAAGATTTTATTTATTTGAGGAAGAGGGAGAACACGCGCCAGGGGGCAGAGGGAGAGGGAGATGCAGAGCCCGACACGGGACTCGATCCCAGGACCCTGGGATCATGACCTGAGCTGAAGGCAGATGTTTAACCGACTGAGACACCCAGGCACCCCACCTATTTTTAGTTTTTAAAAGAAACTTATTTTAGAGGAATTTTAGATTCATAGCAAAATAGAGCAGTAAGTATAGGGAGTTCCTGTATAGTGCCTGCCTGTCCCCTGACACAGAGCCTCCCTGACTATGAACATCCTATATTAGAGTGGTGTATTTGTTATAATCAGTGAACCTAAACTGACACATCATTATCACCCAAAGTTCATAGCTGAAATTAGAATTTGCTTTTGGTGTTGTATATTCTATGGATTTGACAACTTATAATGATATGTATCATAATATCATACAGAATAATTTTGCTACCCTAAAAGTCCTTCATGCTCTGCATATTCATCCACTCCTTACTGTAAGCCCTGGCAACCACTGATCTTTTTACTGTCTCCAAAGTTTTGCCTTTTCCTAAGTGTTAAATAATTGGAATGACAAATATGTAGCCTTTTCAGATTATCTTCTTTCACTTAGCAGTATGCATTTTTGGTTCTTTTGTGTCTTTTCTGGCTTGAAAGTTAATTTCTTTTTAGTTCTGAATAATATTCCATTGTTGAATATACTAGGGTTTATGTATGCATTTATCTATTAAAGTGAATCTTGGTTGCTTCCCAGTTTGGGAACTATGAATAAAGCTGCTGTAACATCTGTGTGCCGGTTTTTGTGTGGACATGTTTTCAACCCATTTGGGTAAATACCAAGGAATGTGATAACTGGATTGTGTAGTAAGAGTATGTTTAGTTTTGTTAGACACTGTCAGACTACATTCCAAAGTGGTTATGCAAGTGTGCATTCCTACCAGAAATGAATGAGAATTCCTGTTGTTCACCTTCTCACCAGCATTTGATATTGTCAGTGTTTTGGATATTGGTGATTCTGTTAGGTATGTAGTAGTATCTCATTTGAATTTGTAATTTCTTAATGACATATGATGTTGAACATAATTTCATATGTTCAGTGGTGATATGTGTATCTTATTTGGTGAGGTGTCTGTTAAGGTCTTTAGTCCTTTTTTTTTTTTTTTGTATTTTTTGCCCATTTTTTATAAAAGTGTTTTGTTACTGTTGGGTTTTAAGAGTTCTTTGTACATTTTTGATAACAACCTTTCATCAGATTTGTCTTTTGTAAATGTTTTCTTCTCATTTGTGACTTTTCTTCTTATTCTATTGACATTGTCTTTTGCTGAGCAGAAGTTCTGAATTTTAATGAAGTCCAGCTTTATCACTTCTTTCTTTTTTTTTTTTTTTTGAAGATTTTATTTATTTATTTGACAGAGAGTCACAGTGAGAGAAGGAACACAAGCAGGGGGAGTGGGAGAGGGAGAAGTAGGCCTCCCGCGGAGGAGGGAGCCCGATGTGGGGCTCGATCCCAGGACCCTGGGATCATGACCTGAGCCGAAGGCAGACGCTTAACGACTGAGCCACCCAGG